CGTGAAAATGATACTTGTAATAATAATAATCACAAGGAAATAAAAAGATGAGAGGCTTTTGTTTCTTGGTTTCAAGTTTCCATTTTTGCCCAGATGTAATATGGCAGAGTTTTTTGGTAGAGAAAATGTTGAACCGCTTATTCTGTAGAGCAGAAAACCTCCAAAATATCCCCTGATAGAAACATGCCTAAAATGGAGAAGTGCTGCATAATAATCTCTCAAGAAAGAGTAAAGGAGATAAGTTAAGGCCCAATCACATAAGGGACTTACCTTGGGCAGGTCAGTGGGTGGCAAAAATCTCACAGTAATTGCCACCAGACTGAAAATTAACCTATCCGTTACCTTCCTACTGATAATTAGCCCATTATTTCTTTTGTGCTCAAACTCTGAGAGGATGTATGAACCCATCAAAACCTAGCTTATCCCAAGCCTGCCTTTTAGGTGAAAAGAAACAGAGTAAAATAATTTTGTGCCATTTGTCATCTCTGCCATTTATCCAGGTAGAATTCGAAAGCTGTGGAACCCAAGGGATTCCTTAAATGGGGATAACACGATACAAAGACCATAGTAAAATTGAGGGTAGGGGGTGTTTTAGTTTAGTGCTATATGAGGAAACGAGTTGCCTCCTTCCTGCAAATAGCCAAATTCTATTTCCACCTAAATTAAGTTACCATCTTAACTAGTGCTGAGCGTAAGACACAACTCCCAGCCTCAAAGAGCTTCTGATAGACCTGGAACACTGGACAACTGTTAGNGGGGCGGGGCGGGGCTGGGGAAAGGGGCAGGGGAAGGGAGGCAGCAGCCTGGACACACGCATTCTTTATTCTGTCTGCAAAGGAGCAGTCCTGCCTCCTACCTGTTCCCCGCTCCGGCTCGCCTCGGCGCGGCACAGCTGGACCATGCCCTACAGGTTTCCCACTTCCGCTGCAAACACCTGGGAGCGCATCTCCCCGCCCGGCGCCCCTCCTCGCCGCGGCCGAGCCCACCCCGGCTACTTGACAGCAGAAGCCCGGCCTTCCGCGAGCTTATTGGGGCAGCGGGGAGAGCGGGGTGGGCCCCGGGGAGAAACCTGCGCCTCTGATTGGACAGGACGGATATCACTCTCAACCCCAGGATCAGGGCTCGCTACGGACTGGGGTAACTGCTAAATCCAACTGCAAAGGGTCTCTGCAGTCGCTGCAACCAAAACCTGCTGCTACTGGATCAAGGACCCCTAAGAGGATGGAAACTGGTTTGATGACTTGTCATTTGAGGCCCCAAGAGGGAGGGAGGGGCCAGGCGTCACCAGACACCCGGCACTTTCCTGAGCTTCCCCGAAGGGACCATCTGTTCCAGGAGATTTGACAGGCTAAAATATCAGGGGCAGTGAGTGCCTCGTTAGAGAAGCATGAACCTCGGTTACAAAATAGAGAAATGTGCATACTTTCGTGAAAATGATACTTGTAATAATAATAATCACAAGGAAATAAAAAGATGAGAGGCTTTTG